TGCAGAAGTTGCCATAAACTTTGACATTAGGGTAAGGGGCAAGAAAGAAACAGACTGTGATTTCAGGGTCCTCTTGTGGAGCTGTGTTTTTACATTCCAGCCTTTCCTTTAAGCAAGAAGCAAAGGATGACTGCATCTTCTCTTGCCTGCCCACCTTCCTCCTACACCACAGGAATAAATTGTCACTCATTAAATTAATATGCTACATTAATTTACAATTAAGCTATCACTACCAATAATGATATATAAGGTACATTCATCGTACTTGCAGTGCACAATTCAACATAAACCTGGCAAAGTTTCCCATACATCTGCTTATTCCCTACATACAGTATAAAGATAATAATAATTTGGACCCATTTGAAGGCCACTGCAAATAAAGGGAGAAAACATCCATTTTTTTACAAGCTTCTAAGCACCTAAAATCTTCTATGTTCTAGGCTGCCCACAGGTACATAATTTTTTTCTTGTAAGTTGCTTCTTCTTCATATGTTGTTCTGATTTGATACCTTTTCTACAGACATTAATTGAAAAGGTGTAAACACCAGTTATACCCATGCAAAACACATATAAACCTGTTTAGTACATACTATACTGAAGCCACAGGACAAAGAGAGTACGATAGAACTCACAAATAAGAAAAAAAATGCATTAGCATAGTATGAGGATGTATTTGCCTGTACTTGGTAAAACTCCTGAATATTTTGAGCATCCAGGAGAGAAAAACAAAAAAGAAAGAAGGAAAAGAGAAGCCATGTAAGGGCATTACACTGATGGTTATTTTCTGCTAGAAAATACTTGTTAGTATATTTTTTCAAGAGGAAGAGTTTCTGCCAAAAACTTATAGTATCTAGAAGTCTCAGAACATGCTGTTTCTAAATTTTATTATCCTGCATGTAAGTGAAAAAAACCCAGAAGTTATTGATATGGATTTTTTTTTATTCCACAAATTACATCAGTATAAACATTCTCTGGAAAACAAGCCTTTGTAAACATTTACAATATACTACATATACAATATATATAGTATATAATTACCTATGTGCCGTGTAGTGGTGTAAAAATCATGTTGGAATAGTTTCTGCCAGTGGATTACAGTAAGGATCAACATCCCATTTTTGAAGGTGATTTTAGTATAGAATAAAATCAATCATATATATTTTAAGGGACTAGAAGCAAGAGACTAGAGGACTGGAGTGGGTCATTTTCTCAGTAAAGGAGAATTCCAAGTCACAGAGAGATCCAGTTGAGTTAATTGCAGTTAATACAACATCCATATATATAACAAGCACATATACTGGAACAACAGCAACAGTATAAGGAGCTTCTCTCATATGCAGACATCATAGAAAAGAAAATAATAGAGCTCCCTGAAGAGCTGGAAAACAAGTGGTTTTCACCCTTATTCTTTCTCTTGCTTTCAGCACCATGAGCCCTATTTTCCTGTCCCTATTGCTCTAAGGGAAAAATCCTTGATCCAAAATTACATGAGGCTACAGAAAATGTGCAAAACAGAAAAGAGAGGTATTTTGCAGCTAACACACTAATATTAAAACACATTAAGAACCTTAAATCAAAGATGTTACTCAGCAAGGACAAATTCTTTGTTATTATCCATCTGCCATTGATTTGGAAATCTCAAAAGACCATGGGTTTCTTGAAACAATTCCAGGCTTTCTTGGATCCTGCCAAAGCAAAGACACCAGAAGAACAACTTCTCTTGTGATACTCTGATCTTTTTGCTTCTATTCACAGTCAAGACCAGGAAGACCCAAGTCATACAACCCACCCCCCTCAAAGACTGAAGCAGAGTGCAGAAAAATGACAGCTTCAGTATAGGCTTTGACCAACAACTGTGTAGATTCTTATGTTAATAGAAATCATAGAAATTTGAGAACTAAAACACCTATTATGTCATGTAATCTATGCAGTTAGCAGGGAAGGATTTGTTCCCTAAAGTATTTTTATATGCTTTTATTCAGTCTGATTTTAAATGTCAGAGCTATGAAGCTCCCATTGCTTTCTCTGAGAAAGCTGATTTGTTTATTGTTTAAATTAATTTCACCATCTCCAGTTATAGCAAACATGCTCAAGATGCTAGTCTTAATAAAAATATGGAATGTCCTCAGTAATTTATGTTAGCATTAAAACAGCCAGTGAGTATCCAAGCTACAAGTTCTGTTGAAATACATCTTTGCATACAGCAGACTGTTCTTTTGATAGTAAGGAATACCAGAATCTCAAAGTATTTGGCAGCTGGTTTCTGATGAAATTACAAAATTTTATTGAAGTTGGTGTGCTTTAGTAATCAGTTCAACGTGATTCATAAGGTTGGCTTTTTTCACACAGTTATCTTTCTGAATGAACTTTTAGTTATTTCCAAGCACTACTGTAATATGTTTACTTCTTCAAGAATTCAAGACTTACAAAAAATTTGAAAAATCAGTCAGAAATGTCTTTTTATTATTGAGTTTCCCATCTTGAAACATAATACCTATCCCATTGTTACGGAAAACATTGGTGATATTGAAGGGATTAATACTCAGCCTTTTTTTTACATCACTGGGAAGGCAACTCAAGTAAAAGAACAGATCCGCTGTACATGTAACCTTGTTAAGCAGAAAGATATCCATATGCACTTATTAAGTTCTGACATAGTTCCCAAGAAAGATCTGATTTTTAGGAGTAACTATAATTAGTGTTGGCTGTAGATGAAACATAGATAAACATAAACTTATATAAAATCCGGGTAATTTTATATTTTCTTCTCATTTCAGTTCTTTTTGAAGGAAAAACTGACTAGACTGCTGATTCAGTTACCTCGAGGTAAGGACTGTGCCCAGTAAAATCATTTCATTCATATGAAGAGAATATGAGAGAATTAATAGGATTGAAGCTAAATAATTAGAGAATTAATAGGATTGAGCCTAAATCTTCACAATTGTATAAGAATAATTTTTCACCAGAGAAATATTTTCCAAAGCCATAAGGAAAATGAACACACATTTTAAAAAACAGCTCTCTAATGTACTATGATAGCATCTGTATTTACTGTATACGATACAATCTTTACGGCATACAGAGATTGTCTTTCCGTTTGAGCTGCCTAAAATATTATGCTGGTCTCGACCTTGGAAATGTTTCTTAAGCATTTACTGTAGTATTACAGAGATCTTTTGCCAGAAGAGTCACTGCAGAGCCGTGGACTCTTAGGGGGCTTTCCATATTAGGGGTTTTCTTGCTCTGGATAGAGCATGCCAAAAGCAGTTAGTTGCCGTTCTGTATTTAGAACGGATTTGCAGGAATTGATTTTGGTAAGAAATGTTGAAATTTCTTGTATTTCATTGAGTTAAGTTCACTCCCACATGACAATTTAGGGAAACATCTGTTAAGAAACCTCTCACAAACTATCCAGTACTACACTAGCTAGAGCAGATTTCTATAGCAGATCCCTAAACACATCAGGAAATATGCATTTATTCTGCCACAATTCTAATGGTCCCAAAAGACTATGAAGAATGTGCATTTAAAAGATTTTTTTTTTAAGTTACAGCTTATGAGATAATTATCACAGATCCTTAAAAATAATTATTGATGTTTAAACAGAAATATATTCAACTAAACTATCATCTTAAACAAAAAGGTATCACTTGAGGAAAATATCAAATGTCTCTCAATCATCAGTCAAAAGCTTTCTGTGAAACAACTTCTTAACTCCACTTTATTAAAGCAAAGTGCAAAATGTCTAATTTAATTTATGATATAAATTACATAGCAAATCCACGCCGGACATTAAAATTTAAGGTTTATGGTCAAGTCTCTTCACTTCCGCAGTAACCCTTTAATGTCCAGATTCTCTTTCTGCACCATAACCCTACAGAAAGATTTCTCCACATGTAACATTAGTAGTACAGAATCCTGGCATGACTACCTGTCTGAACTTACTCTGGAGTTGCAATACCAACTGTTACTGTACTCCTGTAATACATGACATCAGTAGTGGCCATCCAATAAATTACGATCCTGGATTTGCTCTGGGACCATCTATAATATTGTATTTATTTGTCATCTTCATTGTGGTTACTATATCCTTCCTATTGATGTCACCCAGTAAGAACTGGAGTTTTGTTAAAGATGTCACTAGCCACAAACAGAAATGTGAACTATTGCAGGTTTATTTAATCTTACAGTCACTGCATCCTTATTCATAGTAGTCTGAGAAACATTATTTCCCACTCAGGGTCACTTGGTCTGAAGCTAGGACTGGCCCAAGGAAAGAAAGGGGTTTCCTGTGGTAAAAAGCACAAATGAACTAGATCTAATCCTGATCTGTAAAAATAATTTTATAATGAACTTTAAAATGTAAAATAATCAAAAATCAGAAAGATGTTTCAGAGATCAAACTAACATATGTAGGAAGCAGTGAAGAACCACCTCACAGAAACTTCAACTTATTACTCTTTAAATTTGAATCTTTCCTAGCAGAAGACTCTTATGGATTAGTTATACTTTAAGCACTCATCTGCACATCCCAGTAAGCAAGCTACTTTATTCTGAAAGGTGTATCATTTCAAGCATCAAAATTCTGCCATCCAGACATAATTATATAAACTAAGAACCATGTTCCCCATTTAAACAGTTTTATAATTCCAGAATACACTGGGGGAATGCAGAGCTGTAGGAAAACAAAACACACCAAAAAAGTTTTCAAGAGCTATGCTGCTCCTTTTTCATAATAAAGACAATCCCCCACAAAACTTTAGAGAACGCAGAGAACAGAGAGAAGAAAAGAAAGAAATTCTATAAAGTCTCGGCACAAGTCAAAAAAATATATTGTGAGCACCAAAATTATATAATATGTTACTAAGCTACGCAATATTAAACTCTTTCTCTTGAACAATTTTTTTGTGTGTTTGCATACGAACTTTAAGTTAACAAATAGGATGTAGAGAGTAAAGTTCACAACATTTTCAGTTCGAAGTAATAATAGCATCACTTACCTAAAGATTGGTCTTTGGAGATGCTTTTTCTTGATTGTAACACAATCATCCATTTAAAGTGGGGGAAAAGACTTCTTCCAGCAAATAACTCCAAAAAGACCAGGGAGTAATCGGGAAACTTGTTCTTAGCTACTGTGTTGCAGAGAGCACACAGAATGATATTTTGGTGCTGGGGGAAGCCTCCCTCCCTCTTTCTGACAGTGGAGCAGAAAAGGGCCATAGAGGCCACATAAGCCAGGCACGGCCGTGCACTACCAAACCGGGCAGGCTGTGCAAAACTGGAGTCAAGTTGATCGAAGCACGGAATTGTACTGGATTCCTTTCAACTGTGCAAGAAAAAAGGGGAGCTTTGCCAAGTGCTGCCCAGGTAAAAATTTGTTAGATTCTTCCAGCCATGAGAGCACTTCTTACACATGCTGGTCAAAGTCTTAAATGCAGAGTCACTCTCTCTCTCTCTCTCTCTTTAAAACACACTGTTCTGAGGCTCAACTTTTTTTTCTTCAAAATAAAAGTTGTGCAGCTGTTTCAGCATTCCCATGCGAGTACCTTCAGAAAGTTTGTTCTGGTAAAAGAACTGTATACAAATTAATGAAGACGGATGGATCTGGTCTGTGAGGCTGGCTCTACTTCAAGAGATTGTAATTATTTTACAATCTGGCTTTTATTCACTCTGGATGATGTGTGGATATAACTATGCAAATTAAAGCACTGCTCATAATTTTTAGCATTCATAACCTAATAACCCAGAGTTGGCTGAAGGAGAATATGGTGTTTGCAGCTAGTAGGACCATAACTACATAAAACAAAGCAACGCTACATGAGTGAGGAAAACAAAAATGACCAAGTTCAGATAGCAACAGTAGCAAACTGTTACTGTTTGCAAGATAAGATTTCAACAGAGATCCAAACCGAAAATCTTGCTCTGACATCACGCTGGCATAAATCAGGAAGAGTTCATCCGCAGTGACCACAGGCTGTAAAGAAAGCTATAAAGCAGAAGCAGCTGACCGTGGTTCTCAGTGAACTGAAGTCATGAGCGGCTCAGGTGAGATGCCATTTCCCGGGCACGTCAAAGGGCCCGTAACAAAGCTGTGCTGGCACAGGGCTTGGCAGCACACATGGAACCCGGCCAGAGGAGCAGTACACCAGCAGCCAGCTGTCACCAAGTGCATGGCTGCTCGGAACCCTGGCACCGTGTGCCCCCTTCCTGCCGAGGACAGAAAGGACCTGCCTGCCGTGGTTATTTCTTCCCTATGACCCAGCACTGGAGTTCCTCTGTGGCTTAGCTCTTGCAAAGCACTCGGTACCTGCTAGGTGAAGTTATAGACATCTGATGAGCAGGACCAGGAAGGCTGGGCATCTTCTGCAATTGCATTACTGGTTGGAGGGAGTGCAGAAGAGTGGTAAATGTACACAGTTAAGTACATAACACTGGCATTATCAAATTGAGTGACACGGTAAACCCACAGAAAAGGCAAGATAAGTAACGCTGACATGTGTCTTAGGCTGTATATGATCAAAAAAGGTAACACTACATTGTGGAAAAATTATTATTAAATTCATACAATTTCCATGAAATAATGTTATATAACAAATAGAGAGATAACAAACATTCCAGTAATATGTATTTTCACAAAGGAAAATTTAGCAGTTTAGTGGATTTTACTGAAACGGGTAAAATTGCTTCCTAGAGCTAATACATATTGCTTATACAACAGAGTGACAGTGTCAAGTTTGGTTAGCCTGAAAGGACCCAGAAACTGGTTCCTCATACTATATCAAATTATTTATTTGACCCAGCCATGGAGTAATTATCTAAAGAAAAAATCATCAGACAGCCATCACCTGTTATTTTGTGTCAGTTCAGTTTCACCTTGCCCCACTCTTCACTCCTACTCCTTTGAGAAGTAGAGAGAAATACATCTTCATCAGGAAAACAATTATCTTTATTAGATCAAAGATGAGTTTTTGGCAAGATCTTGAAGGATCTGGAGATCTTTCCTCAACAATATGCAGTGCTCAGACTGTTGTCATATTTTTTAAGACCTTCATGTAGTCATGATCTTACTTATTCTTGCCTGCCAAGATTCACATTTTTCTTCATGTAGTTTTCCTTCTCTGAGTTTCAGCATTTCAGAATAATTTGCTGCTTTTTGAAATGTGTTCACTCACTGTCTATACAGAAAGCTGAAAATCAAAAAGACAAAGAAATCTCCCTTTTCTTCCTGTTTCACATTATGTGTATAGGACTGCTATACTTCTGTTATTCAGAGGGATTATCTGTAGCTCAGAGTAAAATCCTGGTATCTTCGGAGAATTTCAAGATAGAAAAAAAAAAAATCTCCAAACTCTCAGTGAGAGCTATACCAAATATGTTTTTCCACTGAATTCCTCTACCTATCTTATCTATCAGTTTTATCGGTACTGAAACTAGTATGCATCTTAAAAGAAATTTTTTCTGGGCCTAGTCCAATGCACTTTGTTGTTCACGGGACTTCCATTCAAGCATGGCACTGTAAAAAGTATTATTTGGGGGAGCTGAAATTCCTGCAGTGTAATTACTTTGGCTACAAGGAATTTTAAGCTCTTAAAAAAAGAAAAAGACAAGGAAAGAAAATATTAATATAAAATGGTAACAGAACTTTGCTTTAATTGCATTGTTTTTCATCTTCCAAAGAGACTTTTTTGACCATTTTTTCATTCAACATAGCAACAACCCACTGACTTTCTCCTTATAATATTCAGAAACCATGTCTACATGTCGAATAAGCGTTCACACAAATTCTTCGAGAAAGGGCACTTCAGAAAGATACAATAGATTAACTAGACTGTCTGAAGCCTGAGTCCCACTAAGATTATCCCTGTATTGTTCAGTGGGAAAATCACATGTATAAAATTCACCAGCATGTAGCTTTTTGCAGATTACAATATTAGAGCATATTGGAGTAATATTAGTCAATTGTAGGAAACACCCGGACCTGATACACAAAATGCACTGAAGAGGTGCACTTTTGTTAGAATGAGGAAGTCTTTTGCTTGAAAGCATGATTGCAACTTCAAAAAGTCCTCCATAGATAACCTTCATCGTGTTTCTTACTTCAGACTAATCCTTTCAGCAGTAATTACAATGGTAAAAATCTATTTAAATGATGCCTTAGACATATCTTATTTAATTTGCCAACACTGGATGAAATGTTTGTTTTTCAAATTATTTTCCAAACATTGTTGTAACTGTTTGCCCATCGCAACCAATGACCACTGCTCTATGTGATGCAAGCTATTTTTATTGCATCTTGGACCAAAAGCATGTAACACTTTACCACTTCCAAAACCTGAGTATCCCTAACCTCAAGATCTATAGCAACAGTGAGTAATTTGATGTCTAGTACTATGTCTCAAAGCAAAAGCTACACGTGAGCTAGAACCCAATACATTTCATTCTGCTTGTTTTAATGCCACATGTTTCTTATCAATCTGTAGCTCTTTGCCAGAAGTCTAGAAATGTAATTATTTTTCCTACTTTAATTTCAAAGCTACGGGCAATTAAGATGGCAAATTTAAGAACCAGTAATCTGTATGTGTCAGACAGTTGATTTTTTCTACTTTCTAGCTAAAATACCTACTGGCTAATGAAGATATGTGTAGGCATTGCTGTTCGGGGTTAAGGGCTCATCTATCCCTGTAGAAAGATAGATAGGAGGGAGGACCAACAGAAAGGGATGACAAAGAAACTACAAATGCATGATCAACCACATATGAGAAAAAAGAAATTATTTTTATGAAAATGCTGGAATATTAGTCAGAAAAATAATGGTAAACTGTACTGAAAGAGTAGTAATTCTGTCAAAGTAGAAAGATAATTTTTCTAAGAAGCTTGCTGTCCCAGGGCCAGCACTATTCAATGTTTTCTTCAATGGTTTGGATGGAAATAGGTGATATACTTAGTCCAGCACTGACAATATTAAGCTAATAAGCTTTTCTGAATGTCCTTGACAAACTGCAGAAATGTTCAGAAAAAAAAGGAGGGTATAAAAAATACCAAGCTCTGCATACACATGAGAATAATCTGCTGGACAAGGGGCCATTGACTAGGCAGTACGTCTTCAGAAAATGCATGAGAAGTAGAAGCGAATCATTAACTATGACAATCTTATGAAAAAAAACAAGCATCGCCCTGGACACATAAAAGGAAGCAACCTCCCATTCTCTCTGTATTCCTAAGGCTCACCCATAGCCCTATTTCTTGCTTTGGGGCAACAGGATTCAGCAGAGACATACTGGACTAAACCTTAAGAAAACAGAAATCCAGAAAACATCTCATAAGAGGGAAGGCAGAAAGATCACCCAACTGCTCTACCAGGTTTTCATTAAGCTTATTGGACTCTGTGTACATAAATGTGTAGGACAATCTCAATTTATTTCTTCATGTCCATGTCAGCAAAATCCCCTCTAAAGCTTAACGTAATGACTTCTCCAAGCTTGAAAAACTAGACAGTACTGAAGATAATTGTGACTCATTCAGAATGCAGATAGAAATATTGGCAAAAGTTACTGAATCTATTGTAGTACATGCGGTAAAGGTTTGTGCAAACAGTTGTGCAGGTCTTTAAGTTCTAGCTTCCCTTTTTAACTCTCATAAGTAAGAATATTTATAAAATTGTTTTATTCTCTCTTGCTTTCCTTGTTTACATGCACATGCAAACCAAGCAAAGACTTAACGTCAATGCCATCACAGAGGAGATTATTTCCCTGCTAAGATTTTCCTGCTCAGACCAGAGTACAGGAACTTGGCTTAAGAAGCTTCCCAGTCCTTTACTTTTGCTTTTATATTTTACTACATCTTAAGAGTCCTAGCAAAGCTCAAAGCAAACAAGTAGAAATACAAAAAAAAAAACAAACCAAATACCAATGTCTCATGGGGACATTCATTTTCCCAATTAATAAAACTCTTCTGAAAAACATGACCACACATCCAATCACAGTTGGATTTTGTTTGATTCAACCTGATATTATTAGGATTTTATACTTTGCATCCTGAGTGAATAGGAAGAGAGGGATGAGAAGGAGAGGAAGGGAGGGGAAATGACAAGCAGAAAGAAAGTCCTTTGGGATATATGATGCAAAATTAGCACTGAGATACACAAGTCAAAACATGGCATTCTTTGGTTTGGAGCCAGTGCAATATTATTATTGGCCACTGTGGATGGAATTTCAGTCTCTATTGGAAAACACTGTAATTGATGTGCCATGTGTTTTCTAAATGTATACATATAATGGGA